ATCTCATGAATCCATTTCCTTGAGAAGAATAATAACAATACCATTAATTATTAGAAGATAATGTTTTTTGCATACTTTTGACACTAATCATATAGCGTTATTCCTCATTGAAAATTGAAAAGTCCTCTACAATTTTGCAATTTTCGCAATGGTTGACGAAATATTAATTTCTAAATATTGCCAAATAAGCCCGTATCCGGCTATTCAACCATTAACTATTAAAAAATTGCAAAAAAGTAGAGGACTTTTTGATTCAATTTTTTATAAGGAATAGCATTATGTGATTCGGCAATCGCTTACTCGGCTTCTTTAGAAATTAATATTTCATCATTGCGAAAATTGCAAAATGGTAGAGAACTTTTCGACTCAATTTTTAATCAGAAATAGAGCTATATAATTAGTGTCCGCTATTTAAGAAACACCTTATATAATTATCATGTTTTATGTAAAATTCGATAATTGTTCGTACGTGCTTTGTCGCATTGAAACTGTTTAATAACAATAATAATAATAATAATAAGCTCGGGAGGCAGCCACCAGTTGGGGCCCGCCAGTGACACGCAGACTAGGTCCATTGTGTCTTCCCGGCCGTACTACCTCCCATTAGATCAAATCAGACCTGTCTTTCTCCAGAAACGGAGGAGATCTGGAGTTGACATACCTGCTCGGGCTCGAGAAATACCGAGTCCAATAGAAGCCGCCTTTGTCCTGCATACGCTGGGCATTCACATAACACGTAGAGAGAGGTCTCTTCCTCGTGTTCGCACTTCGGGTTGTCACTGTGCCCCAGCTTGTGCATGTGGTAGTTAGTGAAGCCATGGCCCGTGTAGATCTGCATGGCCAGCCTGGCTTCCCCTCTCTTCAAGGCCCTGATGCTCCTAGCAAGGTCCCTGCATCTCTCCCAGCAGGGCCCTCGCCTGCCTGCACTTGGTTCTTGTCTCTTCCTTCCAATAGTTGATATGACGGTCCCGTAACCAGCCTTTAATTTTTGCCCTGCAGATACAGCTGGGCAAATCCAGAACCAGTTCCGATCCTACCAGCCTGGCTGATGAGCCACTTCTTGCCAGCTCATCAGCAATCTCATTATTTTTGATTCCCGAATGTCCCGGAACCCATACAAGAGCAACATCGTTGCCCGTGGACAGTCTGTTCAGAGCACATTTGCACTCCCAAACCAGCCACGAGTCAAAGACATATGCCCTCAGAGCCGCCTTGCTATCGGAGCATATCCTGATGCGTCTGCCCATCTTACCTGATGCGATTAGCGTTTGAGCACAGCCCATGATTGCTACCACCTCCGATTGGAATACAGTGGTGAACTCTCCAATGAAATTGTTTACTTACGTAACTTTATACATTACTTTATGCTATTATAGTTAATTAAAACTTTCTGAATGTTTTATTGCAAAAAATAAAATTGCATTTTTTCGCATTTATTAAAAAAATGAAAATATTGCATTGTATATTTAAATTACATAAGATACTTTTAAAAAAATAGTTTGAAAAGTATACATTATTAGTACACATTAATAAATAAATAGAAACTTTTAATATACTAATTGTAAGTAGAATTTAATAAAAACACATTAAATTATAATTTAATTCTTTAATGGTATTATATATAAATCAAAGCATTGAACAATTTAGATTACTGTTAAAGATCAATCATTATTATCTGCTCAAATAGCATTGCATTGCATTTCAAATTGTGTTCTGTAGTAGTAATTACTCGGGCCAAAAATGACATAACATTAAATTTATCGCAATTAGGGATTATTTACAAATCTTATTTTGCTCCAATTTTTCGTATAGAAGAAGAAATCTTTTTTAAACAATATATTGGAATACATTAGCTGCCAGATCTATAAGAAATTTGAATTCAATTATAATAAGTTGTGTTATAAATGGATTAAATGTGAAAGAAAGAGGGATGGGAGAAAATTGACCTCACTTTTTCGTATTTACGTGCGGTCCGAAATAAATTTGGTCGTTATTTATTGTATAGTAGGCGTAACGTAGGAATGAAAAACAATCTGCGCATTCGATGGCCAAATACTTTGTTTCATTCTTCACGGCATCAGCATACCATTCCTCCACTTTCACGTGACTGCATCCTGATGCAAAAGAATACAGCATACAAAATCGTGTGATAAACATTAGCAATACATATCCAATTTTATATTTCGTGATACATATTCGCGTACATAGGCACTAAATGTGCCCATTTGAATTTTGATTGAAATAATGGCATTGTTTGCTTATATTGGCATTTAATGTTAGATGTAGATATGGCATTTAATGTTAGATGTAATTTGTATATTTGATAGAATGAAAGAAACGTTAAACAATAGATAAAAAACTTTTAATAGAATTTAAATGTATAACATCTTGAATTACTGTGTACGTCTCGGGATGAACAACATTCAAGTTGAGGTCCTGTTTCAGTATTGGTATAAATATTGAGATCGCCTACAACTTCGAAAGTACCATATCCACCACGATCCGTGTAGAAAACATCGGTAAATATTTAGAAAAGGGGAGCCACCTCCGATGACCTTAACATATGTTATCAAAGTCGTGACCCTGAGTGATCTCCACCAGGTTTTAGCCGTCGGTCGTTATTCGTTAAAAAGTTATTAATAAAAAAAGTTCAACTATATAACACGAAAATTCCCTGCTTTAAAATATGTTTGATAATCGTGCACTGTAGGGGACGCCACGCCGACGACCGTGACTTTGACATATGTTGTCAAGGTCACGAGTCTGAAAGATCTTCAACAAGTTTTAAGTGGCTTTCCCTTGACTCTCACCTCCCCTCCACTATGTTATTCCCACAGACATGACATTGCGTTTTCGTACGTATCACTTTCTTTTCATCCAAATAATCAATAAGATTTTGGAAATTATGTATTAGATGAATAAATTCGTGAAGTAACATGGTGACAGCACAAAGTGAGAAAGAATACTGATTGTGAGTATATCGTAATAATGACTTTTCCATTGCTTAAATGTAAGCAAAATAAACCGAGGAATAAATAGATGATTGTGTATGTGTGAATGTTTGACGAGCGTGGAAGTCGTGCACCCCTTTGCAGGGGGAGGAGAGAGGATGAGAGTCGAAGGTGAGAGTCGTGCGCCCCTTTGCAGGGGGAGAGGGGAAATAATATTCTCTTGATCAATTCACTCGATACTTCTCTCGCTACCCAAAGTTGTCTGATTTTTTATGTAAAGCAGTGAAATAATTACTAACTTTAACTGTTAATAACTTTTTAACGAATAACAACCGACAGCTAAAACTGGTGGAGGTCACTCAAAGTCACAACATATGTCAAGGTCAAGGTCATCGGAGGTGGCTCCCATTTTCTGAATATTTACCAAAACATCCGTGAAATTGGCGACTTTTGGATCAAATCGATAATCGTAGTACAAGTCAGTATAGAAGAAATATGCCGAAGGATTTAAACCTGGATTTATTAATATATATGTATAATATGTAAAAAACTACTGATAAAATTTTCAATTAAATTTCGAAGAAAATATAAAGATTTCTAAATTGATAAAAGCATGAACTAAAAATTGAACCTCGATATAAATAAAATAAAAATTAAGACAGGAGTAACAACAATTTTTTTGTAATATAACCTGTGATATGTGAAAAAATAAAATCACTTTATGTTCCGATGCAAGCTGCAACATGAGCCTCCATAGAATGTCCAACCAATTTGCTATTTTATTTCATTTAAGGAATTAAAAGAAGACGCAATTATCTGGTATTAGGTCCAATTTTAGGTACTCGATTAGGAACAACGAATTTGTCTCCTTCTGTCAATAGGGACCAATCGAGTATTGCAATGGCTACGTTTACACCGTGCGCTTTATCCGCGATCTATACGATAGATGTCTTTGTTTAACTTACAGGACAAAGATAATAAGCAAATTGACTAAAAGGCACATTAATAGGGACAGCTATCCTACATATAATTAAATAAATGCAAATTTTTTTACGAAATCAGTTTTAATAAAAATTAAATTATAATTTTAGTTTTTAATTCATTAACATATAAATGTATTACAGTAATTCATATTACATATAAATGTATTATACATTAATAAAAGGCATTGAATTATTTATATACATTACCATTAAATTACTAAAAGATCAATTTGTTATCTATTTAAGCAAATTATAAATCAATATAATTACATAATGCGCTGCATTATAAATCATCTTTCATAACAACAATTACGTGTAGTAATTATAATAGTAGTTCATAATAATAATAATAATTATTATAGCAGTACGGATTATTCATGATATTTATTTTCTCATTTGTAGAGGATGTTCTTTAATCGATTGGAAGGATAGTAAGTGCCGGTTTTGCGAGGAAATTAAATTCAATTATTAAGCCGTGTTAGATTAAAAGAAAGAAGTAGAAATAGAAAACCATCTTTACATTTTCGTGTCTACATGTGATTCGAAGTAAAACTGATCATTCTCTTTGTAGTAGTCGGTAAATAGAATCATGAGACAGTCCACACATTCGGTAGAAGATGAGTAGTTATTTACCAAAGTTAAGTTTGTTGTTTTCTCTTCTCTTTATTATTTTCTCTTCTCTTAAAAAGTACTTTGCAGAAAAGTTTATTTGAGAAATATATGTTATTAATTCATATTAATAAATAAATAGCTGCGTTCAGCAGAGAAAGCTAATCAGTGAGTGCTCAGTGATTATTTAATATGATTGATTCTTGTCTTTAGTTTTTCGCTGGATCTAAGTAAGTGTAGCAATCAATCATTTTAAAAAATCACTGAGCGTTCACTGAGTTTTCTCTACTGAATACAACCAATGCAAGGTTCACAAAGTCGAACTTGATAAAAATTATAATAAATAATTATTTTATTTTTTAATCCTTCAACTATTACACACAAATATCACATAAATCAAAGGGGCGTTGAATGTTATTATGATTTATATTATTATTAAAATATCAATTTCTTATTCATTTAAATAGATAGTATTGCGATGTATTATGGATCATCTTTTATAATAATTGCTTAGGCCGAAAATAATACAAATAGTTTAAATTTATCGCAACTACGGATTATTCATAATACTTATTTTGCTATATTTTTATCTAACAGACGAAAACATCCTTTAATTGATTGGTAGACAGTAGATGCCGGTTCTATGAGGAAATTGAATTTAATTATTAAGTCATCATTAAATTAAAAGAAAGAAGTAGAAACAAAAAGTCATTCTCACTTTTTCGTGTCTACATGCGGTCCAAGGTAAATCTGGTCATTTTCTTGGCAGTATTTGTAACGTAGGAACAACATACAGTCCTCACATTTTGTGGCCAAATATTTTGTTTCGTTTTTCACGGCATCGGCATACCATTCTATTGCTTTAATGTGGCTGCAGACTGATGCAGAAGAATACATATGAAGTCACGTGATAAGCATTAGCAGTTCCACTTTACATTGTATGATTCATATTTGCATATGTACATAAACACTATGCCCATTTGAATTTTTATTGGACATAACATATTGTACACAATCTTTTAATTACACGTGTACATAAAAATTTGATTAGTACAATTCTAATATAAAAATATCTAGGCATTATTTTTTTTAGAAAATTTATATTTTTAAAACACTTTACTTTTGCATTATTAAAACATTTTACAAATGATCATATTTAGTGTAAGGTATAGTGTACAATAAATAGAACGAAAGAATGTGTTTAAGAACGGATGAGAAATTTTCTAATTAGAATGTCAAGATATGCCAAATTGAATTACCATGCACGTCTATTTGTGACGAAGCATTTGAATAGCAGCCAGGTTGGGGTGCTGTTCCAGAATTGGCGTAAATATTAAGATTGCCTACATTTTTCACAGCGGAAAGTGCACCACGATTTGTGTAAAAAGCATCCGTGAAATGTGCGACTGTCGGATTCATTACACAACCTTTGTACAAGTCAGTGAAAACGAAAACTCCCGCGGGGTCTAAACCTGTATTTAATGATACATGTAATAAATTGATATTGTATAATATTCTAACTTTTATTATACGAAAGTTCTTATCAATAAATTAGCTTTTCTGATAATACAGTATGTGCCAAAAGAAAAATGCGACTCTCACAACTAACACTTCAGTTGTTGGTTTAGTTAAATAAAATGAATGAACGGAGGCAAATTTGATTATAACACAAATATTTTGTCCTTCTATCAAATATTTATTCGATATGATTTCCTTTAATTGCAATCACTGCGTTACTGTGTCACACTCAGCAAACGTAATAGTGATTAAAAGAGAATTGCATTTTTTTTGGCGCATACTGTAAATGCATGATCTCGATACAACTTCAAAAATACATCCTACTTATTAATGAACATATATGTAACATAATAATGATATATTTTTATGTTTATTGAAACACTAACTTTTTTATTCATAAATATGATTTTAAATTGTAGGACTTTTTAAATTGTATAATTTACAAAACTGACTTATATAAAGATTATTTCAAAACAAAATAATTATATAAACAAAAATAATCATAAAATATTATTTGTCATGATACATAAATGTGTTTAATTCTTTGTAAAATTAGTTAGAATCTATCGCTAAGAAATGTATCGATGTCTTTGAATAAATTTTAAAGAGAGTTAAAAAAGATTTTAAATTTTATAACAGTTTTTAAATCGATAAAATCATGAATTAAAAATAAATAAAACAAAGAGTAAGACAAATAACGATTTTTTTATAACATACCTGTAATATGTAAAAAAGTAAAATTACTGTATGTTCCAATGCAACCTGCAATATGAGCACCCACGGAATGTCCAATCAAATGCCATTTTGCTATTTCGTATCCTTTATTGTTTAAAGAGTTAAAAGTAGATGCGATTATCTGTCCGATTTGGTCTATTCGAGTAGAAAGCAATAATGCGTCGCAATATCCCAATTTGGACCAGTCGAGTATTGCAATGACAGAGTTATTTTGTGAACAATAGGCTAAAAAATTAAGATCGCATCGATCAATTTTTTCCTGTTAGCATATATTAATATCACCATATTGCTTTTTATTAATTTAATTCACTGTTTTTTATTTATGTATCATATATATATATATAAAATATATAGCTTTTATCAAACATGATATATTTCTAGTAAATGATAAAATGAAAATACCCCAGGGATGACCGATTGATAGAATCATTTGGATTTAGTATAAGTCCATGGATCCAAATTCAATATACTGAATATTCGCATACATTTGCACATCATATACAACCATATATGTATATATGTTTTTGCAGATGATAATACAATAAACATTTGAAATAAAGTAGAAACGATATACAATCTGATTTTAAAATTAGAAGAAGAATTAAAGATTAAAATATAGAAGAATAGAAGATTAAAGATTAAAAACCTGTGTTTAATATTAGAAGAGAAGGAGTAGTTTAAACATATTGAACTTTTTATTTTCTTTTGTCTTTTAATTAAGATTTAGATATGTAAATAATATATAAAATAAAGAGCGAATCTTCTACTATTCTACGTTCGATTTTTAACTGTAAAAAGCAAAAAATTATATTCCTAGTTGTCATTTTCGCAGAAGAGAAAAAATACTTAATTTTTCATTTTGTGAATCATAATTCATTCATGTGAGACGAATAAAAATAATTAGCGTAAATCTATGTAATTTTTTGTGTACGAATAAAATTAAGAAAATCTTTTATTTTTTGTGTGTTGTGTGATAAAGAGTAGAATAATAAAACATTTTTTATTTACATATATCGTTCAATCAACATATATCGTTTAATCAAATAATTAAATGATGCTACATATATGTAAGAACAATTTATCATTATTGGTACCTGAGACGATGTCTAGGTAGAAACGTGTAGCTAGACGTTCAGGTGTAACTTTTGTCGTCTCTTGATGTCCATGAATAAAAACAGTAGTTTCAATTTTATCTTTTTTCATCTGATTATGTGCGTTTTGTATGCAATCCGTATCATCTATAACACATTGGATTGATCTGTTCGGGGCATTGCTAAAATATCATGTACACGTAAATCGAATGAAACATTTTTACTGTTTTAATATCAAAATATAAAAAAATTAATAATAAATTAAGTTCTGGATAAAAATAATTTAGTTCATTTCTCATAAATTATGTCGTTTTCGTATAAACATTCTGAAAATTGTTCACTGTATACAGACATCTTTCACTAGATATTCATTTCGAAAAACAGATATATAACATAATATTAAATCTCTTCAAAATATAAGTTTATACTTTCAATAATCGAAACAATTCTTAATATAAAAAAAAATCATAAATACCAGTAAGGAAAACTCAGAAGAATTTTCTTCGGATCGATTTTGTCATCTGCAAAATTATTGAGTTTATTTTACTATTCTATTTGTTGTATATCTTTAACATATTTCTAATATTTCTGCAAAACATTATTAATACTATTCATAATCTGTAGATTTTCGAATATTTATTTTATCCATAATAACATAATTGTTCACAATTTTTTTTATAAATAATGCCAAATATGTATAATATCTTTATAATCATGCAGATTTTTACAAAATCTTTGCGTGATCTTATTGGAAAAATATTAATTAATAGAAAACACACACACGCACATAAGCGCGCTCACTTACTACTGTTTATAATACTGATCGCGCTTGATTGGAATGTTATAGAACGGTACCAATTTATGACAGTGTAAATAGCTAGAAATGATCACGATATTAAGTGGTATTGTCAATTATTATCAAATAATCTCTTTACTATCTCTTTACTTGTCACTGATGCTGCGAAGCAAGTGAGGAAAATCAAAAAACTACTATACACAAATGTAGTTCGAGTCATTTTGTAGTCTTATTCGTTGAGCAATCGATTTAACAGCCGTTGACAAACTGAATAAATATAACGTACGACTTTTATATCATTGAACTGTATATATACCTGCGACTGCGAAATAAAAATTTATTATTCGTTTATCTAAGATTATGAATATAAGCTTTATTCTGCGCTCTTAAAAGATAAGAGGCAATGTAATGGAAGACAGGATGTTTAAGAAATTGATAATGATGTTCTCTCTCTCTCTCTCTCTCTTAAGTGATTTTCAAACAACTTTCCAAGATCAAACCAATGGCACGTGTGTGAAGTTGGCCCCGCACTTTTCGAATTTTGGATTTTTTTTTATTGTGCTGTGTTGTGCTACGTTTGTGCCACATTGTGCCGCAAACCGCAACTCAATAACATGAACCGTTTTCCAAAAAAAAA